CTACACTACTAATTGTGACAACAGTTCAAAAGGAGGTTAGAAACAATTGATTACATAATGAATAAACACTGATAGGAATACAGTGAGTAGAGTTTAGTTGAAAGATTATTAATTTGAAAGATAGTTGAAAAAATAAAATCAACGATGTAATAAATACAAAAGAAGAAAAAAATTTAAGGTGTAGAGAAAAAAATATTTGTCGCCAAGGCAAGGAACGGTTAACAACCGTCTCCTTTTGAACACATAGGTCAGGTTTTTGACGCCTGGTGGCAACGGCTTCAGCAAACTTCAGAAGACTGGAGTTTGGCTGCTTACTAATCACCCTAAAGGATTCTAAGGTACCTGATGTCCTGTCACAAGGAGATGTTTGGTGATTGCACTATTCAGAGTCTTTCTTTCTCTTGTTCTAAGACTTTTTGGAACATGTTCAAAAAATCTAAGATATGCTCTCCTTTCAGTTCGGCCGATGTATCTGCTTTAGCAGGTACACGTAAATTTATAAATACAGTTGGCGGTAACATGAAAGGGGTGCTTGTCGACCTTTGATTGGGTTATTGAACATGTTGTTTTATAGAAAATTAAAAGTTTAGCAGCCGGATAAGTTCAGTCTCCTGTTGATTATTTGTGCGACGTTATCACCTTTAAAGTTAAGATTTATATATACTGGCTTTTTATTGACCGTAGTTATTTCCGTCTTGTTTTCTTTGGGCTTTTCAGGAATCGAGAACCAATCAGCTATAACCTTAAAAATGTTGGTGCCCTTTAGTTTGTATTCATCAGAATGATGTGTTTGAGTTTATTAAATAACTAGACTTTATGATTAGTGAAGCTAGAAATCTATACACATGGTGCTGAATATTTATTTTACTGAAAATATTTACGTTTTTTATTGTCAATGTTAATGATTGTTTCATCATGATCTAACTTAGTAGACTGAAAACTATTCACAAAATGCCAAGGGCTGGTTGTTACATAAAACAAATCAATTAGATATTAAAATACTCCTCTTCATTTGCTTGTTTGCTTCAGTGTATTCAGCTCGTGCCTTGACTTTCTTTGTTCTTGATCGACTGTTGTTCATCGCTGTTTTCTTGTTCATCCTTTCTTAAATCTTGCCCAGAGTTTCCATAGTGTTCCATTCATTATGATGCTTCTTGCGGCCCAGCACCTCCTGGCACGTTGAAATTAGTGCTTTTTTGATCTCTTTCCAATTGTTCTCCATAGTAGTTTTATCTTCTTCGAATAGATCTTGTTAGACTCGGAACCTGTTTTTGAAAGTTATCTTATATTTGTTGAGTTTGTCAGTATGTCTGTTGGCTGTGTGTGGAGCATTTCGCTCTTCTTGACCGGAGTACAGCAGCGTCTCTCCCATACGCAAATTTTGTTGTCCAGCTTTGGTCTAATGGATTTCGCTAATTCCGGGAATCACCAGGTTGTATCTCCTAATTTCCGTTGGTATTTGGCTTGTCCTCTCGGTCTATCACATCATCCAAGCATTCCGTGTACCTATAAAATTGTTGCTCTGGTTGTCAGAAGGAACATCGGCTTCCTGACTTCAAAAGAATCTCGACTTTCATCCTGAGGCGTCATAATTCTTTCTTCATCTGAGAAAGCAGAGTTTAAATGGTTTAATTTGTTTAATCTGGTTGGCGTATTTTCAGCAAGATTTTATTCTACAGATGGGGTTGCTGACTCCGTGTTTAGCCGTCCTCCTTTGGCCAGGCTTGGGACAGGCAGTAACTCTAGAAGAGCTATAGGCGGAGTTGTGGTCGTATAAGCCATCTATTTATTCATGAATCTTTTTATATTAATCTGATTCGAGAACAAATCGAGTAGTGTTCCGGATGACACATCTTCACTCTTTCGCTTGCTGGCCAGCCGGGTGATAGGATAGTTTTCATCTCTCCATTCAAAACCGTTAATTTCTATTCAAACTCATACATTTCGTTGCCTCAAGATTGAACCAGTTGGCCTATCGTATCAAGGCCTTAACCTAAACCGAGACAGTGAGGATATGAAAAAGTTATTAATGTGTATATTTATTGTAAGGGCTCAATTAAGTGGTGAAATTAACCAGATAACAGTGTCGGTGGAAACTGACTGATCAGTTAATAAACCGAATCGAGAATATAAGCTAAATGGATGATGTATTTTCTATGAAAAAATACACATTTACACATATAAATAAAATATTTTGCGGATCTCTTGACAAAAATAAGTTCGTTTCTTTAGTAACAATTCTGATGTCCCATTCTTCAGATGTATTTTTCCGAAGGTCTTCAATGAATGATATTCGTCTCACTTTGCTATTATACATAGGGCTGAACATCATGACATGATGCAGAAAGAAAACAGTCAGAAAATACATGAAAACTTTCAATTCTACACTGTATAAAGATTAGTTTTAAACAGTTTTTTTAAGTTAGTTTTTTGTTTAACATGTAAATTTCGTATTTAGTTTACAACAATTCGGAGAACAAACACCTTTGGTTGAACTGTGATTAAAAAAAGAATAAAAAATGTGTCATTTGTGTTTGACTGAGTTTTTAGAAGGAATGTGAATAAGGTTTCTAAGTTTGACTCATGAAAAAAGGATTCCAGTATCATAATGGTCAAATTTTAAGTACACACCGAAAATGTAATAAAATCTATTATATATCTGGAAAGACAGTTTTTTGGACATACCACAACATAACTTGAATATAATGTTACTTTATTGGCTTAAAATTCTGGAATACCTGGCTGACATCAGCCAGATGTCCGATTTTGAAAATTATATATATATATCCTTTACGAAACCATCGGCCCGAGCGCTTCATATTAGTCAAAATATAGACTGATTTGCTGACTTTCCAGTGGGTACTTAACCCTATTCAAAGAAATATAATGGATGAGGATCGCTGGATTCCACAAGGTAAAGAGAATTAGAATTACTAATTCCAACTTAGCGTTCCGAATGATTATACTTTGTGCTGGATATGAAGGCTTAATGTTAGACGTTTTATAATCTGAAATGTGTAAATCACTCAAGACTGGACTAGTAAGATAAAGTGGCGTTTGAAGAGCTGGGTTTCCGGTGGGTAGTTTGTAATAAAAATCACTAACGGAATATACATCCGTTGATGTGAAACTACTTCGACTTAAAAAAACTCTTTCTATTGATAATTAAAAGCTCATCAAACAACTCAATTGAAACATTTTCGTTAAATTAACAGCTAAAAGTATTTTTAAAAGTTATTATTTATATTTCCTCGGTTGGTAAACTGCCATAAAGGTGTTGAACTTGATATTCGTTCCAATAACTTAGTCTCAAAAATATCTGCACGACGTTATGCTCACTTGTTGAGGTATTTTTCACCATAAACGTGAACAGAAAACTCAGGGATTACAAACATGTTTTACATCTGAATCTCACATCAATTGAAATACACAGTAATTTTGGTCTTGAAAACTATCTTCAGTAAATGAATGTGTGAAACAGGTGTTTCTTATTAAATTATCGAGGACCTGAATAGCGGTGATGTAGTCAGATAAATTATAATGTTTAAGGAACAACAGTTACTCGAATGTTATTTAGAATATATATTATGAAGATGCATTGTTAGAATAGCTCACCAAAATTAAAGTATATTATATTATGTAGGATCACAGCCCAGTATATACTTTTTTCTCCCATGGAGAATGATGGCCAGAGGCTTATGCTCCTCTACGAGGGGTGACAGGAATAAGTATGTAAATAAGTACATAAGGCTAATATTGGTTAAATCTGGAATTACCTCGTGTCTTCTTAATCAGTTTCACTGTCCACCATTGTCTTCAGTGAGGTACTATCGCACAACTGACCTGGTCGTACTCCACTAGTTACGGCTTCTTTTGTGGATTGGTTGAAGTTGGACAATAACACCGTTGGATACCGGCTCATTGGTCTGGAGGTTAAGCGTCCGCGCGCGAGACCGATGAGTCCCGGGTTCGAATCCATCACGAAGTCTCATACTAGGACGAATCGGTTGTCCGATGCTTCCAGGTTTTCCATGGCAATCTAGCTTTAATTGACTCATGCATTCAACTATTAAATAAATTTTATTTGAATAACAGTGTTTTTTCTTCCTAGTATTATAAGAACAGATGGATAGTGGCTAGCAGTGGAATCCAGGACGCGCATCTCGTTCTACTTGGGACTCGTCAGCTGGATGTACCTACATCCCAGAATTGATGTTCACCCCGGCACTGTTCACTTCAAACGCCATTGCGTTCCCCACTTAGCTACTGAGTCCTAATAGCCACCAGCTTGTGCAATGGGGTGAAGTTTAAACTCACTTGGTGTTGTTTTACTTATATCTTCCCATTTTTATTTAGGACTGCGATTGATCAGTCTCATGCTGGCATATGTGCATCCTGTGCGGATTGCCTAGTTATAGCCTTGAGTCACAAGCTACCTAATATTAATTATCAGTTATAAAAGTCATTGTTACATTTTCACCCTTTTATAATTATTTCTAATTAGATTGTAACATTCAACAGCTGCGTTGTAATTATTTTCAGATTTTTAATGTTTTACATTTCTACTTCAAGAAAGTAGTGTCTTTTTTTAGGTTATTCATAGTTTAATCGTCATGACAACAATGCCTCACTCACAGTTTCGACTAGTTGAACAACATAGAAAAGAGTCCAAGTATACCATTAGAATAAATGATACTGTCACATTTAACTGACAGTCTATTATAATATTTTATCATCTTTTGTTTTAAATATAAATTGTTTATGAGATGGTGAGGATTTGTAGCTCAGCACAAACTGTTTGTGCTGATGATGTCGTTCAGAAGAACGATGAAAGTCCCACAATCAAACCATCCAGCTCAGAGAACAAAACTCCGCCAATATCAATTGCCTAATTTTATAAAAACAGTTTCTTTTTATTTTTTAAAATTTTTATTCAGAAAAACAATAACAATATGAAAATGATTATTGTATGATACTTCAGTTTATTTAAATGTTTCAAATTAAAGATTGTGATTTATAAGGTAAACGTTTATAGACTCATATGCGGTAACACCTTGAAAGTACATCAAAAGTAGAAAGAAAAAAAATGACACACAATTTTTTTTATTAGGAAACCTAGTTACAAGAAGAAGAAAAACAAAATGATCAGTTTTGTAATTTTCAATCATCTGAAATTGAAATACAATAGGATATTAAAAAAGTTTATTGTTGTCTGTTTACTTAAATGAAATTCATATTGTTCTATGTGATAGTCGGTTATTAGAAAAGTTAGAGCGAATGAGATATGATGTAAGTTTTCTTATTCGTATTAGCATATTTACAGGAGATAAATCTTACAATGATAACCAAACCGACTCATATTCAAGCTATGATAATTATAATTCTAAACTAAGACAAGATTTTAGTTTTATTGAAAGCTTACACTCACCAAATAAATAAGAAGGTTAATTATATTACTTCTCTGTAATAATTACGTGTATGTATAATAAAGAGAGGAAGGATGGAATCTATATTAATTGACTTAATGGTTGAATGTAAATAATGGCAATATATCATAATGAGAATTGGAAGATAATACGACGAGATTATAATTTATGAACGAACTAATCAAATGTAAGATAACAGGTCTCGGATTTTGGCGCGAAATTCACTGATCCATTTGTCTAAATAGAGTCTTGGCATTGTAGCTGATGTCAGTTCGTGATGAAAACTCTAAATCTAATTTCTAACCGTAACCATAATTCCAATTCCTCACACAGGTTTATAATACACACTTGGTTTTAGTTATTAAATGGACAGTCAAAAGGTCAGTTTAACGTCGCTCAAAGGTCATCCATAAATTATAGCCTCACCGATAATACGTTTTTATTATTCTAGGCGACTGAAATTATTTTAAAACAAATAACTACTTTGACTTTAATTGTTAAAATTGCAGCTTCATTTAATGTATTTTCATCTTGTAGAACATTTGTCTTTGAAGAAACAAAATACGATCGTTTAAAAACATTAACTTATAGATATTAAATGTTCTGCGTATAGCACTGATATACCAAACAATATGTGTGAAACTTCATTCCATTCTAAGATCAAAGTGTACTGTACTTAAGGGGACCTACTTGTTTCTTCCATTATTTTGAACTTATTTTGATATAATTATGCTTTATTACGTTATTTTTTTAAGAGGAAAAAACAAACTTACATGTAACATCCACTTAATGCAAGATAAGTTTGTAAAGTTTTAGGAAAGAGCAAAGTGTCTGAAATAAAATTTTATTGATTTAACACATAAATTTCCCTGACTGAAATAAAAGATAAGATTTAACTAATAACAAATCAACAAATCAGAATATGATCCCTGGAGAAGTAATGTGTATACACTACTGACGATTCTTATGCTGTAGTGAATGAGAACACAAGTAGAGACAATCCAATGTACTTAAGCAAAAAATTACAGAATCTCTTAGTAAAATCTGAGCACTTTACAGTAAATACTTCATTTGTAAAATATCAGTCAAACTGTCTCAGACTTCATTGTTCCTTCGTTTCCACACTAAACATTCTCTGTTCTCATTCTCTTTTCTTCGATCTTTTTAAGTTTCTGCCACCACGTATTCCACTTCCGATTGATGATACTTACTACTTATATCTATTGACATCAGTAGCATACACCACAGTACTAATATGTATTTGTTTGAAATAAACGGGCTTTATTTATGGGCTTAATAGCTACGTGTATTTAATCGTATACTGTTGTCCAATGAATCCTTAATATATTACTGGTAGGATAAGTGAAATTTTCTATGAAACACCTGCTGAAGTTTACTATTATTTTTCAAATGTTTTATGTTCTATTCAATGTAAATCACATTACTAGAAGTCAATATAAATTAACCAACTCTTGTGCAAATCATATTGATAACTGAAATGATAAACATTTTACAATATAGTGTGCTTTTAATTGAATAAAAGTTTATACCATTTGCTAATCATTGTTTCTACTCGTTTTTTTTTTTGAGGATGATAGTTGTATATGAAGGTTTTTTAGCACGCGGAAAAACGGTTTTCTGAAATAACTGACGAACTATAGTGCATGTATGTACATAACACTACACCGGTTACATTTTGGGTTTGAGATGGGTTTACTTATGGAATTCATCCCAATTATCATTAAATTACGTTAAATTTATTTCATATGAAAAATTTCTAACTATGCAGTTAAGTGGAACATTTCAGTTTTATTCAACGTTCAGTAAAATATATGAGGGATTGAGTTTTACAATTGTTGATATTAGGAACTTATATATATCATTTTTTCTGAAATATGTGAATTTTATGTATACCATCATGATATTACCCATAATTACACAGTTTTAATATGGTTAGTTTTGGGTTAGCAGTAGAATGTGTGTTTTGTCTTATTCGTGATTCGAACCCAATAACTGTTAATTCAAATACCGATGCGCTATCCACCAAACTACACAATTCACTTAGCCACAAACATGTTTGACCATTATGAATTTATGTGTAAGAATTCAGATTTTCGTGCTGTTGATATTAAGAACTGTGACCGATCAGCCTTTTGATGAAAAATATGAAAGTCAGATTTATTATTAAATGCAAAATTTATCAGTATAAATAAGTATTTCATTAAACCATGAATACCACATTATCATTATCTTATATTTGTCCTTTGAGAATTGTTATTAATTATATTGAGAAGTGCGATTTCTCTAAGATACTCATTTACGTATACGTTACAATGAATCTTTGAAATCTTATTATTAACTCAAATTTACGTACTTATAATTCATTGAATAAATTACTTTTAACTGTATACAAGAAACGTACACTGAACTCCCCTTCTGTAATTGTACCTCTATTATTTCCATACACAAATAAAAATTAAATCTAACATTATTCTCATTAGAAACATCAGATATAGTTTGTCAGTAAACTCGATGATGATATTGGTTTAAAACAGGATTACTTACATAACATGATTGATCTGCTCTATGTTGTTGAAAATACGTAACCGCATAATCTATATATTCTTGAAGAACTTTATTACACTAAAATTACATTGAATATTTAAAAAAATGTTTAAAAATGATTAGGTTACATTTAATTTTAAGAAAAAATATATATTAAAGATTCCTATACTAAAAATTGGAACAACACGTATATAGGTGAACCATATTGTTTTCAGTTGGATCATTAGGAGGCGTTACTCCAGAACAAATGAATTTTTATATAAAAATTTTAAAATATTTGAATTCATGAGTCACTGTAAGCTAGGCCACCACTAAAAACATAGAAATACTGGACGGCCGTTTTGTCTAAGTATGGGACTCGTCATAAATTTAACTATTAAAATTACTACAATCTCCATAAACTCTCATTCTGCTAATAATTTTAAAATAATCAAGGGACTTTATGGGTAAATGATCATAATGAAATAGATTGTATAACTGCATATAATGTGTAAAAATACAGCTTGATAATAAGTAGACAGGTTGTACTAGCTATAATCAGGACAATGAAATAGTTGTAGTCGGTAGTTCAACATAGGAAGTAGGTCAAATATGGATAAATAGACTTTAGATCAGTAATCACAAAACATCATTAAAATTACGTAATAAGTGTGTAAAGGATTAGAGATTGGAGAATATATACGGAAAAAGGCGAAAAATAATAGAAAAACAAACACAGGATGTAAAAACTTAATATAATCGTTCATTACGTCATATCTAGCCAAGTACAGGGGTGCCACGAATTTTTTTGAACACATAAACTAGATCGTGGGAAAGATTTCTAGCTCAGGTGGATGACTTTGGTGAAATTTCCTTCTCTAAGCTAGATTATTTGTTCATGGAGCCTTCTTTGTTCTTCCGAACGACATCATCAGCACAAACTTCAGATAGAAGGGAAATGTTCAGATTTCTTAACATATGACACACAGCTTGTCCTGTTGACCCCCATCTAGGTTGATTATTGTTGACTTTTAACCTGTCCCTGTCTACTTCATTTTTGACTATATCTCCCTTCGATTTGATTCTCGGTCCTATATTTGTTCATGATTTTTCTGATTGATTGATAGATGGGATCGATTTTGATGTGCCAAGCTTGTAAAATTTTCAGATTTTCTCAGTATTCTCTCTATCCAAGATCTAAACATTTTTCCAGTCATATTTGTGCCCACAGTTGTCCACGTGCATTGATATAAGTGAAAATATGTCATAGCGTTTGACCGTTAATTGATAATCGTGATTGCGGAAAACACTACTTTGGACTACACTTCATCTTCATCTGTATATATATATATTAGTGTAAAGCCATGAAAAAAGCTAACTGGAAGGAAATAATTGTTTTATCCATTTTTATACGGAATGTCTGAATGAGAACTTTTATAAATCAGTTAGTCAAAACATAAACTTACTTTTGATTCGTCTGAAGCATAAAGTAAACATATCACTTTCAATGAAGATTTCATTTGTTTAGTTTCTGTTTGATCAGTAAAAATACTTTGTATTTTACTATAAACAAATTTACATTCTTCACACAATATACTATCTCCTAAAAATAAAATACAAACTATTTATTTTCAATATTTTAGGGCACATTAAATAGTATTTAAACGAAAAACATGTAATGTAATGTAAAATATGAAACTAGCTAAATCAACTTCAAAGTGTATAGTAAAATGCCTTATGCCATTCATTTCCATATGAACAATATAATGTTGACAGGAATAATAAAAGGATAAACTGATATTTGAAAGATAAATTAGGGATTCACAAACATAACGGATAAACATTATTCTTATGTCCATTTCCTTATTTCTCTTCAACTTAGATTTTCAAATATTTATTTAGTGATGTAGTAGTAAGATTAAGGTAATTGAATAATCTTTATTAACTAGACAATAAATTTTTAATGTTATTTGGTATAAAACTTGAAAAACTGAAGTTTATTACCGTCACTGGAGATTCATTTTATTTACTTGTACATAATTCAGATTCTTGTTTTTGATGATTTTTGATAAAAAAAATATATTTTAATGATTTCTTATAGTATCCTTGTGTACATTTGTTGAACTCTCACTGACGTTATATTCGAGATATTTAAGATGTCATCATACTGATAGATTAGTGAAACCGATCTTTTAAAAATTATTCTGTCCATAGAAACAAAAATATTTGATCATTTCTATTCCAACAGTTGAGATCATGAGTCAATTGAAGCTAGACCACTATGGAAAATTTGGAAGCACTGGACGGCTGTTTCGCCCTATCGTGGGACTCCTCAGCAGTGCGCATCCACGACCCCGCCTCTCGGGATTCGAACTCAGGACCTATCAATCTCGCGTCAGGCGCTTAACCAACCAGACCACTGAGCCTGCATCCAACGATGTTAATGTCTAACTTCAACTAATCCACTAAATTGAGCGACACATCCACCATTGTCCTCAGTGAGTTACTACCTCACAACTGACCCGGTTGAACTCCGCTGGTCACTGCTTCTCACTACAACTCCAGGATACATCTCTTGAAGCCAGTTACTATTGTATTCCATTTATTCATTTAAATTGCTTAGATAATTTATTACTTTGACTACCTATTTGATTTACATTAATTAAACAGCATTTATTAAGAGGTCCATAAATGAAAACAAATTTTCATTTTTTAAAAATAAATACTATTCTATAAGTAATAAATAAATAATATATTTATAATATCCCAATGAGTAAAAAAATTAGATTTTCTGACGTTTCGTGACTTAGTGTAAGCCACTTTTTCAGAGAATTAAGAACCAAATTAGAATTGATCCAAGTTTCTATTGAGAGAAGAAGGCCTTACCATACATCCTACTTGGACTATCTATCCTAGCCACCTGGTCTGATATTATTTACAATTTACACCATTAATTTACAAACTAAACACAATCCTTTCTCACCATAAAGGTCACACAATTTTCATTCTTAAGAGTGCACACATACATACACACAAATTTACATACAAGTCGCTCATAAATCACCTTGACCGAAATAACAGGACATTGATTTATTCAGACCCGCTTTTTGATTGATCACATAATATTCTTGTTGTTTCGTTGTACTATTTAAACTTGGATTAATTTTACAAATATATTATTTATTTATAACAATCTACCCATTGCTCAATTTATTCGAAATTGTCAAATCAAACCTTGGTAATGATACCTACATATTCTATAAGTGAGAAGGATTATCCATTATTTATGTACTATAATTTTGTATTAATTAAATAACCCGATATGAGTAATGGAGATTAAAATAAAACTTGAAATTATATCAGCCATATAATTTTTTGAATGGAGAGTGCTGGTAAGCAGCCGATACTTCTCCATGAGGGGTAACAAACGTAAGTAATACAATTGCTTTTATCAACAAAATCACGTAATTAATTATGTAAATTATTTGTTATTAGCTATTCATTGAATCTAAATGGATTTATATTTCAAAATGAATCATGTATTCGTTTGTTATTCCTCGAAATCTTATTCATGTAATTAAATGACTTTAACGAACTTTCATAACGGCAATTAAAAAAAGAACCACGTTAGATGTTTAAATAAAACTATTTCTGTGTTCATTATCATCGTGAACATAACATGATATTGTTAAGTACGTTGGTTTTAGTATTTAAAGTGACCGATTCTTCATCCATCGAGCATATGTCAACAGTTTTTTAATCAAACTATAATTATATTGAACTGTCTGCGAAGTCAGTAAGTAAGGAAAAAAATTATCCGTATCAATTTTGTTACTATATATGTATTGGTTGCATAGTAGTAGTTTTAAAAAAGTCACTATTCTCTTTAGTAACAATCAAGAAATATTAGTATTTGATAAAATTATCAGGACATTACACTACTACCAATATTCTAACGTACAAAGTGAACAAATTAGGAATCTAACTTATCTTCCTCCCTAAATTGTTTTACATATGGGGCCAGTAATTTTGTCGTCGTTTAGATCGGACGATGTTTGTTGACGGGCTCTCCACTTCAGTGGCCTGTGGATCTGACTCCAATTAGATCGCATGAATGTTTGTTATCGCCTATCCTCGTATATAATCATCAACTTTAATCGCGTTAGTCAATAACGGATTTAGATAAGTCAAATAACGAGAATGGACTTTTGAATACATATATTTTGTATATGAAGCGAATGGAATAGAGAGAAGAGAAATGACGCAGAGTGGAGATGGAGGGTAAGCCAACTCCCATCTAACCAAGCGTTAATCAATATTTATAGTTACACAAAAGTAAGTTACATACATATAATGAGTAATGCGATTAGAAATGTACACACACTCTCTCATATAAAAATAGTCAAGATTGATAAGCGAATAAATAACAAGGTCAGAATGTGATTCAAGTAGAATGAATGAAATGGTCTGTCCGAAACCTAGAATAAGGTGTATGGGCTTAACATAATAACCGACACTACATACATAGTGAATAATGATAATCAGACGTGCTGAACATTCACTAAAATTAATATATTAATCTTAATTACCCTATAGTAACGATTTTTGTAAATGTGTCTTCTGTGATAAGTCAATAATGGAGAATATTCTCATCGTGTTAAACATTAGGTTAAAATATAAACAAGGAGCTATGAAAATTATATTTTTAAGTATTTCAATCATTCAATTAAAATTGTTTACAAGTTTCCATCTTAACTCCAGTTCAAATGTCTTCCAAAAAAATATAGTAAAAACGATTAAAATGACTAGTGATTTCACCAAGAATATTCCCCAATAGACTATCAGATAAATCGGCGAGACTATAATTTATGGACGAACCAATCAGGTTTACGACAACAGGTCTTTGATTTCGGCGCGAAATATTTCATCTATTTGGTTAAGAAGCATGTCTTGGCACTTTTTCTGGTGTCAGTTCATGATAAAAACCTTAAATTTAATTCCTATCTCAAACCATCAACTGTAAATCACAATCCTTATCCTTTATACAGGTTTAAAACCCTCATTTAGCTCTAGTCAACAGATTTAACTCTTTAGGGTCATTTTGGTGTCACTCAAAGGTTGTCCATAAATTATGGTCTCATCGGTAAATCATTTGAACTATATTTTTATAGATAACTGTAGAACTATTTAAATTCAAAATAATGAATTTAGATTTTGATAACATTAAGAAACAATTAGATGAATGAATATGTCAGTATATTAAAAGACTTCATCTTATATAATTCTACTTACCAAAGTTTCGAGCAGTTAAAGAATTTGTATCATTTGCACAAGCTTGTAATGCCTGTCAAAAAGAAAAAAAATTCGGTGGTACATATGTTTAAAATTTAAGTGTTAAATATATAAACATTCATGAAGACATTTGGATGGTGGTTGGAGGTAGTCAACAGGAAACCCTGGACACGGGTTTCGTGCTACCTGGCACTCGTCAGCAAGGCGTACCTGTAATCTTGAGGGACCTGGTGCTCCCTGGCGGATTTGATCTCGTGTCACCCAGCTTCACGGTCAGAGACGTTACCACTGAGCTATCCGAGAAGTGGCTAACCTACTGTAGGACTGAGATGTAATCACAATTGATTGATCACTGAATGGTGATCAATGTCATGTTTGTCTCGTCCTTATTAGTGCAGATCGAATGCTATCGATCATGTTGCAGTGTGGCCACCAGTCTAGGTGACTCGACACTGCGGGCACTATGTATTGAAATTTAGGAGGTTAGTCACGGCTCGGATAGCTCAGTGGTAACGTCTCTGACCGTGAAGCTGGGTGACACGAGATCAAATCCGCCAGGGAGCACCAGGTCCCTCAAGATTACAGGTACGCCTTGCTGACGAGTGCCAGGTAGCACGAAACCCGTGTCCAGGGTTTCCTGTTGACTACCTCCAACCACCATCTAAATCTCAATACATAGTGCCTGGAGTGTCGAGTCACCTAGACTGGTGGCCACATTGCAACATGATCCATCTGAGCTACAAATCTTCTCCACCATTCACTTTTATAAAAAAACGTCTCATCTGTCGAATACGTTTTAACGACGAATAATGTGACCAATTACAGAAAAAATGATTACCATCATTTCTCAATGTATTTTTGAACGAACATGAATTTTCTGACCATACTAAAATCATATGATTCACTGACTAAAAATTATTTCCATCGTATTTAAATTTCAAATGAGTCTTAGTTAGATCAGTATTGTACCCTGGAAGAACTATACACTTGTCTTGTCTTAACTTGGGACTACTCAGTAAATTGCATTCAAACTATATTGACAACATTCATTTACTCACTAGTGACGGGCTTCATGATATAATTCCTGGAGTTCTAGTCAGAACCGGTGACCAGTGGGGTTCAGCGGTGTCTGGTGTAAGACATTGATTAATCCCAGACAATTGGTGGGGTTTATGAAGTATAGTGAGTTGATTGAAGCTAATTTCAGTCCAGTTTTCTAGAGATTGATCGTTAGTGGCAAGTCCGAAGATTCAGAGTTAGATTCCCAGATGTGAGATCGTTTGATGTGCACTTTTGGGTAGTTTCTTATTATAATGAATTGCCCGTCGAGTGCTTTCAGGTTTTTAACTGTTGTCTAACTAAGATCTGTTTGCGATATAAATACGCTGAAAATTCTATTATCTACACAGAACACCATAATGATGAAAACTAATTGTCTTCTGGCTTCATTATTAATGTTCATAGATGTGAAAACAAGAATAATACACGATACCGTTATACAGAATCGTTTTACCACACAAAATTCCAAACTATGAACTACTGGAAACTTTTTAATGCAAATGGAGAGACTGATGATATATATTTAAAAAGGCTAAAATATATGCAAGATATTAAAAAATAATTACCTTGCAAATGTAATCAGGATTCACTGCTGTAGCCAGTATGTTCAAAGTATTATTAAGGTAATTATTCACATATTTCAAGCACTTGGATGAATTTAAAAAATAAAAAAATAAATGAGTGATATATTCTTTCAGACTGAAACAACTTGAATATAGTGATTCTAGAAGCTGACTGTTTTTACTGAACTTTCACTGTTGTGGTTATTGTTAGTTAGCAAATTACAATGCTTACTAAGATAATTTCGATACGTAAGAAATTAATCCGTCGAATATACATTATAGAAATTAAGTTTCAAAAAAGTATTTTTTTGCTAAACAGTTTATTTTACTAAAAATTATAAAATTAGAACTGATCAGATGAATGAAATTAGTTTATGACCATTTGAAAATTACCAATCAACTTAATTCATTTTTGTATCGATTGTTTAAATGTTCCCGCTGATGTTTAGTAATGCAATTAATTAGTCGCTTATTGGCATATATAGATCCTCTACGGATAGCTCCGAGATTGATTTTAGTCACAAGCATTATAAACAGAGATGAATGATGGCTAGCAATGAAATCCAGGACGTGCGTTTCGTCCTATTCAGACTCGTCAGATAAATATACTTACATCTCAGATTCGATGTTCACTCTGGGACTTGAAACCAGTATCGTTCGCTTCAAACTGCATCACCTTATTCACTTACATACCTCCAATGCGAAGTTATTTCAAACTTCTTAGTGGCTATCTGGACCCAGTAGCTAAGTGGATAATGTGATGGAGTTTGAAGTGGACGATACTAGGTTCGAGTCCCAGAGTGAATATCAACTCTGGGATACAGGTACATCCAGCTGACGAGTCCCAAATAGGACGAAACACACGTCTTGGATTCCACTGCTAGCCACTATCCATCACTGCTTATAATCAACTTTAACATTTTAATGGAAGTTTTATGAGTATTCATTATCATTCGATCCATCTGACTACTAATCTTAATCACTGTTTATTTATTACAAATTATGTAATTCATATGAGATTTAGATTTTCATCAGTCCTTAAATATACATATATATATACATATATATATATAATAAAATGAAAGGACTCTCAAACGCTATGCGCTTAATCAAATCGATTCTCTAAATGCATGTATTACCAAGATGTTAAAAAATGACAACGAGAGAATTTACGTGATAGAAGAGCTCCCTGATAAATTAAGAGAACAATATCTGGACTATGTTAAGATGGTTGTTAATATATATTAGTTTAAAACCATGATGAAAAACTAATTGCAAAGGAAATTTCTTCGCTCGATTCATTCCCTCTTTATTTACCAAATGTCAAAATGGGAATGTACATTTGCTTATAATCATTATATTATTTCAAGGATAAAATTTTTATAAAACATCAATAGGAATGATACATAACAAACAATTTATCTTTCAGATAAATACTCTTTGTCTTATAATAAAAAAGGGATAATTGTTTCATGTTCAAATTTCTTGTTACTTACAGTGTTTTTTAGACTTTCTGATGGAATAGACTGACATAATTGTTGTGCTGCAATCATATAAATATCTACCCAATAATTTTCTGAAAGAATGTAGTGAACCAAATTCATCCCTGCTAAGCATGTATCACATTCAGCTAAAAAATATAGTAATATCATTCAAATAGACGAGATTGTTTGGTCACTAAGATGATAACATCAAAAGTGATCTAATATTTGTACTTTTCGTACTTATCAAAAGAGTTGATCGTGAATTTAATATAGATGTTCAGCACTTACTTTTTATCTATATTTTGTATACATATGACTGAGTATCAAAATTAAAAATGTATCCACAACTTGTTTGATGGGAAAATAGCTTAAGTTTAAGTTTTGTGTAATATTAATCCTTAAATATAACACGATAAACTAGAATATATTCTTGACCAATTTAGACTATAGAAGTAATCTGATTACGGTTAAAATATTGGCAAAACAATTTACATTGTCATTTCATTAATTCTGATGCATGGCGGCAGTTACATTCAAGTAAATTCTAGGTTCTTTCGTAACTTATTCATTCTTCCTAGATCATGCATCTAAAGATCCAATACTTCATATTAATACGCTGAGAGATGTATACTAGAAACGAATTCAAAGAACCTTTTGATAAGACGAAAATTCCCTCATCAGTTTCTGTCAATTTATTTTTATAAAGACTAGTTCCCAGTATCTATTTAGATTTCATTTGTTCGCTTATGTTACATTATTCAAATTAGTACCTGAATATAGTTTAACCAATATGTTTATTGAGCATTTATGGGACACTGAATAAAGTGGTTTACATCATATCTTTTAAATTGGTTACTAAACCCGGAAGTAATTTATGGGTCAGATGTTTTCTTGAAAACATTATGGTAATGTAGTTGTTCGACAAAGAGCTTTTGAAGTGTTATATGTGTGGTAAAAAGAAATTATTATTCATGGTTTATAGCTAAGTAGAAATGACTAAATTAGTGTATAATTGTTGATTGAGGGTTGAGTACGGATTTTTCGTTTGTCAGTCTTAGTTAAACTGTATAGTTGAATGATAAAAAACATAGTTATGAATTTAAAATAATAAAATACTTTTGAATTTAGGGAGATACTAAAAAATGTATCTATATTGGAGGAGGTTTGAAGTATAGGTGAATATTTCCATCGTTGCTTATTAATGCTGTTTACTTAAGGAAGGCGGTGACGACATTATTCAGATTGATAGTAAAAAAAATTTGAAGTTAAACCATCCATTTTGTCCGTATAGCACTTTGGAAATCATATTTTGAGATAGGATGATGGTTGCAGATAGTCAACAGGAAACCCTGGACTCAGGTTTCGTGCTATTTGGCACTCGTCAGCAAGGTGTACCTGTAATCTTTAGGGAAATGACGCTCTCTGACGATTTAGATCCCGTGTCATCCAGCTTTACAGTCAGAAGTGTTACCACTGGGCTATACAGGTCGCGACTCACCTCTTGTAGAACTGAGTTTAATTCACAAATGGTTGATCACTGGGTGTTGATCAGTGTCATGTGTGTCAAGTTCTTCTTAGTGCAGATCGAATGCTATCGACCAAGTTGCAATATGGCCACTATTCTAGGTGACTCGACTTTGCGTGCACTTGGTCGGCAGCATTCAATCTACACTAAGAAGGACTTGACACACATGACATTGATCACCACCCAGTGATCAAACAATTGTGAAAATCATATTTTCTATTTTCTTATTCTTAAGGTTCAATAATATGATAAATTACTTCTATGTCAAATGTCCTTTACATATAGTTTTTCCGTAATTGTCATAATAAGAAAATCAACAATGAGAATGGTATTTTAAAATTAAAATTGTCAAAACAAGTTGGATTGAATATTTGTACAACTGATTTTCTATCCGGTTTTTTATATTGTTATTACATTTATTGTTCATACATTTTCTTAAAATATCCTGGGAAATGATGTTGTATATACAAAAGTGGGCAGAATTCGTATATAAAAAATATATTGACATAACACTTAGCAATCAGATTTGAATTGTGCTTTAGAATGCGATCACCATTTGTTTTCTTAGTGGTAATGCAATAATTGTTTCAGAAGCTTCAATCTTGAATGGTTATCTTCAATTAATCATTCATAGGTCAATTACGCAAACTAATATTTTCACACTTTTGATACATTTGTTTTTAGTTTTATACTTTACAGAACCTATGATGGATATGATATTCATTTAGTGTGCTATTCTTAAAATTGTCAATTAACTACTTGTATTTTAAGTAATTACTAATGGAATGTTAATGACATAATGGAAATGATGGAAAGTCAAAATGAGCTCATTAGATTTAAAAACATTGAGATTGACAATCAAAGTTAAAGTCTTTTACTTTCGCCTATTAAAAATTATCTGGTTTATAACTCTCAAATTGTTGATTTTCGGACATTAACTTCGATATAAGGAAAATGTTATATATATATATATATATATATATATATATATATATATATATATATATATATATATATATATATATATATATATATATATATAATTTAATCACCAGAAACAGGACATACCTAATGTTGAATTGTCATCAATATTTCTCTTAGCAACTAAATTCTGTGTAAAGAAATAACACAATGAGACATAAATCTTACATTTCAGCAAATAGTTGTTTTATTTATTTGAATATTTAGTAAGTTCTACAATAAAATCACGTGTGTAATGGGTTTTTTTCCAACAGATACTTGAAGGCATAGTTTATATCAGATACATCATTGAAAATAAATTGTATACTGAATTATCTTGCGGTAAAAGATGCATTGTAGATGTAAAAAGTAATGTTGGTGGCGTGAAATCTTTAAAATATTATCTTTTCCTACTAAGTGTTAAGCTTAATAATTGATGTTAATCAATTCATGTAGCTAGCATTCATCTTTTGTTCTAACCTACCTTAGATGTATATACTGTCTCCATCAAGAAAAGAAAGACTTGGTTATTCAGTTATTCATGCTTTCTTTGAATCAAAGAATGTGCTAGTTAATTAGTCATTGTAAGGATAAAAACTAAATGAAATAATATTACAGAAACTGTGACATATTTACAAATCTGTAATGGTAGTAAAAGCATTGTACTAAAATTTATTGTATACTATTGATTTATTCTCACTTGATAAAACCTTAATTCCTAATTCAACTTATTTATTTTATCTCTTCGCCTAGACATTTAATGCTGATATTATTGTTGTTATTTTCATGCTTATTATTCCATTGTTATAGTATTTACCTTGTACCATATTCAGATAGATATACTATTGTGGTAAAGTCACATTAGTCCTTCTCATTTTCTGTGATAGCTTAAACAAATTATCTAGTTATTGTTTGAATTTATTAAGCAGATCAATCAGCGATTATTTACTGTCATTTTTAAGTTGTACATTTTGCTAAGGAAATATAAGTAAATAGGTATATGTTTGGATAGAAATAGTAGCTGTATAAAATGTAAAATAGTAGAATCTTGACTCATTATTTAAGAATAAGTTGACTATATAAAATAACGCCTTCATGAAATCGTCATGATTCAAGAGAAAGAACCACTCTCAGTACCTTGATTTCATCTGGTGAAGTGTACATCTTATATTGACTATTGTAATAATTGATTACATAAAGAAAATGAGATTAGTGCTGCGATTACATAACACACAATGATTATATATATTTAAAACTATTAGTCCCTTTGATAAATTTCGATAATACAATGAGAAGACGTAGTTTAATTTTCATATATAAATGTTCTTAACAAGTATATGTGTGATCAGATTGTTCGAAATGTATTGCGCAAATATATCACATAATTCTGATAAACTACGTCTTCTCATTGCATTGTCGAGCTTATATATATAAGTGAAATATAATACTTACTATTTTGTTTGATTCAACTGAAAAAATCACAGTTTGTACAACCAACAATAAAATGAAGACAGAATGAATCATGATGGAATCGGTTCAGTTACCAAATGTAAAACCTATTGTATGTATCAAAATTATGAAGTAAATTTAATTAATTTTTTGTTCATTTATATTCACCTTTTATTGTAGACTTCAACATTTTAAATCTTAATTATTTCAAGTGATTAGATGAATATTCAAAGACAAGCAAAGTAGAGCAAAGTACACCTTGGAAAATTACTAGTATTGAAACTTAGAGTTTGATCTTTAGTTATCATAGTTAATTTTTTTCTCATTCACTTCGAATCAATATTAGCAAACATTTCTGCATGTATTCACTATTCAAACATATCAACAGTAAATGAAGTATATATTTAAGAAATGAATAAATAATAAGCATACGGAAACATTCATTTTTATTTGGAGTCGCCATTTTTGTGATTACTCGACATTTATTCTTACAATTTGTCGATTCCTACATATTACCTATTATTCCTTACTGTTCTCCATTATTGTTTCCCGACTTTTTGAAAAAAGGCTTTATTGTATTGCAGAGAGTGCTAAAGGCAGTTAGCAAGGTGTATGGTGAATCTTTTGAGATAATCATTATTATGGTTGTGGATAGACATCTAAAGTCTTGCAAACTCCTGACACGTGTTATCAGATACTAACCATCCCCTTCACTCTTATCTTTCTCGTTGTACATCTTCTGGTAGAACGAGATGTAATTACATTAAAATCGATGCACGTAAGCAAAAGTATAAAAGTTTTATGATACCTTACCTAGCAAATATACTCTTTGAAGAACAGGTTGTTGGAGTTGAATTAGTCAATAACCTGTACTATTAAACACGTTTATAGGTGAAAAGTTGTACAGATTCAGATCTTTCATTCACCTTTTTCTTTTCTTTTGTTTTTGTAGAAGAAACATCTTGAAATATCTCGTGCTGAGAATTTTATATTGTACCAAAATATAATATTGAATAAAGCTGTTATTAATAATAATATTTTCTTTTCTATGGTTTAAATTTATACCAGAATTTTGATAATGAATGAATATTGTTTGAGGGATAAATGTCCTCATGGTTTTTCATAATGCTAGATATTACAAATAAGGCACTGATACTAAATGTACTGGCATCAAAATTCATTACGCTGACTTTTAAGCTAAATAAACGGTTGATTGTAGATGAGTCTATTGCAGCAGGAGTTTCATAAGACGTTAATTTTGAATGGCTGCCCTTTCGAAACGTTAATCGATCAGTAGAATTGTAATGAAAAAATATTCAATAGTAAATTATTTAAGAAAAGGATGAATGAATTCTCGTAAATCAAATATACTGACATTAATGAGGAAACTAAGGATAAACAAGATTAGCAGTGAGTTACTTTTCATAATGTGACTGTTATGCTAATCACCTAACCTTGAGATAACCTAGTCGGAATCTCACTATCGATGTTTCTAAATTTAATCGATTCATTCACGACTATCATTTATTGGTGTTAGTTTGACAAAAGAGATGCGCTTGGTTTCTTGGGTTTAAGTTGTTATCTGGCTGCAATAAATTAGTGTTTTAAACTGTAGAATTTTAATGTCTAGCTAATTAAAATAAATTCTTGGTATAACTGCTTATTTCCGAAAGGAAATGCAAACAGTATAAAATTAATTCACTTGCTGTTGTTTTACTTGTATCTTCCCATTGTTATTTAGGACTGCGATTGATCAGTCTGTCGTTGGCATATGTGCATACTGTGCGTATTGCCTCGATATGACCTTAATTCACAAATCGTCTGCCCTCAAATGCCCTAGTACGGCAGAGAGTAGGGAGAGTCAGCTTTCCCTCTCGAAATGCTCTCACATAACCGCGTGCATATAATCACTACCAGGGAAGTCCCACTCACTGCCTTCTCGTAGCTGGGGTATTGTTTACGAAATTGAGAAGACAAAAAGCGAATGTTCGGCGCTTTGACCGTGTCGGTAGAAACAGGGGGCCACCTAGGGGAGTTAGAAAACCCTGATTTGAAACCAATGGTGCACATGGGACCTAGGATCCTAAGGAAACAAATGGTGTATGAACTTATTGTTGGTCACCAGATACCACGGGACTGCAGCTAGTTAGTTAGTCAGTAACGACGAGAAACTTCGTACGTACGTACATCAGGTCGAGTTGCCATAACACACTAGCACAGAGACGCAGTTATCGTTTCAAATCCCGTAGTGGTAGAGGTAGTAAGAGTATAAGCAGTAATCGGAAACATTAGGGTTTGAAGATGTTATTCAAGGAGTATAATACAGTGAAATAAATTTGGAAAGAAAATAAAGGACATGAATAATCCAGAAGATTAGAATTTGGGAGAACACAAAGAGTGGATGCACCTGCGCCATTGCAAACGATTTTGAGCCATGTCATTCAAGGTCTCTAAAAATCGGTTGCTATCATCTCGCGGATCCCAACCAGATAGTCTACACCTACTAACATGGCTCAGTCCACTTGTCATTGACTTCATGGGACCGCATTTCCTTATGTTGCTCCATTGCCTTGTGGATTAGACCTTTGGGTTGAAGGCTCGTAGTGTAGCCGCCTGAGAAAACCACCTGCTTCGGTTTTAGCACCCGAGCAGTATCCAAGCTCTGACACAAATCGAATGATTTATGTGGTGCATATCTGTTTGATGCCTCCTTGTACCAATGTTTATGTGTTTAGATAAATAACTAAATAAATAAACACAAGTATTCTAAGCAAAGATAGATAGTGGCTAGCCGTGGCATAGTGGACCCCATTGCACAAGCAAATGCCTATCTGGACTTAGTAGCTTAGTGGATCACGCGATAGCGCTTGAAGCGAACGGTAGTGACTTCGAGTTCCAGAGTGAACATGAACTCTGAGATGTAGGTACATCCATCTGACGAGTTCTGAATAGGACGAAACGCGCATCCTGGATTCCATTGCTAGCCAATATACATCTTTGCTTAGAATCATCTAACGGTGAACAAGACGTATCAAGTACAACATATTATGTAGTGCATTGTAGAATGAAAAAAAAATTGGTGGTATTTATTAATTATCTGCTAGTGTAAAGTATTGTAAGAAGATAGTAAAAAATGATTATTAAGAATTAATAATAGATATAGAAGATTACAATGGAATAGTAGATTAAACCTGCTATTTTCACATACAAATTTCAAGTCTGAATAGTTATATCATCGATTCTTTATTGTGTACACAATTTGCATTCATATTTTCTTTGATAATTTTAATAGAACTTTCTGCCAAAGTGTGCTAAGTAAAGATAATAAGATATTCAATAAATAAATTGCTCCTGAACATCCATTTTTTTGGATATCAACGCCTAGTAATCTTTAAAGATGATTTTGAAGTGTCCCATTATGTATCTTATGTGTTTTGCTCCATAAGAACTAGTAAAAATTCCGATGAGAACTGGTCTAACATGAAGAGATTGTTTGATTTATGATTTTAACAATAAAAAATGATTTATTAAATTAATTCACATCATATTATTATGTAAATGTTAAAAGAAGATAAATTGGTCCTTCAGTGACTATGGTTTGATCAATGACCAATAAAATATGAAGGTCAATCATTGATCGATTATAATCGATACAAACTACATACTACATTTATTTCGACATAACTTTATTGAGTTCAATTGTCATGATTGCTTAAGTAGATAAGATAATAATTCAATAGCATACTGCGTTATATACTGAAAATCAGTATGCTCAAAAATTTTATACACTATTTTAATTGTTATCGAATTTATGAGTCGATTAAAACTAGATCACCATAAGAAACTTGGGAACACTGGGTGGCCGTTTCGCCCTAGTATGGGACTCCTCAATAGTTCACATTCATGATTCAGTAATATTGAGGAGTTCCATAGTAGGACGAAACGGCCGTCCAGTGCTTTCAAGTTATCCATGGTTATCTAGCTTTAATCTGCACAAAACCCCATTCTGATATTATCGAATTAATAATAATATTGAAATTTGAATATGACATTTTCAACTTTAATACAACTATATTAAAGTGAAGCGCCATTTCAACCCAGATTGTAAAAATTATTTATTAACCATCATTAAAAAACTACATTGTAGCATAATGATCTATTTTATATATGACTATATATTAGTTTAGCCTAATTTATACTTTAATTATTTCCAGTTGATGATATGATATCTTGAGAATAAAAATAAGTTATTTTTTCCAGTAGAGGTGAATATGGCATATATACCAAAAAGGGATCAGTTGTAGACATCGATAGAAAGAACTAATGAACCATTATATATGAATGAAAATTAAAAAAAAATATTGTTTATCATTAATGTTATTAAGTCAAATTAGAACAAAGATCATTGTTTTTATTATTTGATTCTTGTGGTACAATTATGCATTTTATTTTGATGAATAAGTTAGAGAATGCTAGTCGGCGGCCTATGCTCCATTGGATGTAACAGGTATAAGTAAGTAAAGTAAATAATTAAAATCTTAAGTTGATTTTCCAAAGCACATTGCTAAATATTATGAAATTATCGTGACAATTCTTTTCTTTTCAATGAAGTTTTATGTTCAGTCATAGTCCGCGGTAAAAACAAAAAAATAAAAAAACAAAAAAAGTCCTCATATCTACAATGTTAAATAGTAATTTCTAGTATGGGGTT